GTCAGTTGCCCAACCTGCTGTGGTTTTTTTTGCCTTTTTCTTTTTCTTTTTTTTTTTTTGGGTACCTGACTCTGTGTAAACATCAGATGGTTCGACAGGCGGATAAAGACAAACTACAGCACACAAATAGAAACGAGAGGAGGTGAAGCAGCTTCTCTGGTTCTCTAAAAAGATAAAAGATAACCCTGGGCTTTGATTAGGACGTCCAAAAGTGACTCGGAAATAAGGTGAAATGCAGGAAGGTGCCCTGATCCGTGCTTATGCTGCCCCCTGCTGCACAGGCTGATGGTTTTTTTAACCTTTTTTGCAGACGAGAGGAACTCAGTTTCTGCTCAGGGCCTCTCACAGAGTTCATATCAGGAGCTGATTCCCCATTTTTCATTGGGTTTTAATCCAAAGATGCTCGTCTGGCTTCGGATGAGGCCTTCAGAGGTCAGTGGGAGAGCACAGATGCAGATGATTTCCCTAAAACATCTCTGCTTTAGCTGTTTTTAACATTCCTCCTCGACTATTTTTGCTCCTTTTTAACTCGGCTTTACGTACAGAACTACGGCGTTTATGCATCTCTGTTGTCAAATGCCCCCCCCCTCCGTAAAAGTGACGGGCCGTGGTCACTTACTGCTCGTCTCCCACCTTCTTTATCCACTCCACATCGCACTGCTTGCACGGAGAAGTCATTTCCTGCCAAAGTAGAGCATGAAATTAGATTAGCATGCAGGTGCTGCTGGGATTCTGCTCAAAATCTAAAGTGAAGCTGAGTAAAGTCTCATTCTCAGTGCTTTATTTCAGTGATATTCTACCAGAGAAACAACTAGTTTGATGATAAAAAACCTCATTCCAGCCACCATCGGTCCCCTTTAATGTCGAACTAACACCGTTTGGGTGTGATACAGACTTAGTCTAGACCAGCCCTCATCTCATTAAACAAAAGCAAAGGTGGCCACATTATTATTGTCATGGAAGTGGAAGTATTGTCGAGAGCTCATATGAAACTTTTTAAAGCAGCCTGCAGTATTTCACTGGAAGTCTGATGGATATCCCTCCATCGCCCAGTGGCTTAAGGACATGGTGTTTTTCCTTAAACTTGAGAAAATTAAATATACAATGAGGATGTACAGACAATTTTTTCCAAAAATGGCAGCGTTTTCTTTCTTATTTTTCAGATTTGGAGCTCCTACCTAACTAAATATATGTGCCTGTTTTTATTATTATTTTATTTTATTTTATTTTATTCTATTTTATTGATTTTTCTGCGGAACATGTTGGGCTGAGACGGGTGGGAATGGGGTGTATTGTTCTCTCCTTTTATTGTTCTTATTTTGTTCTGTTTTTGTTTTTTGTACACGTAGTAGGTGTGACTATTTCAACATTTATACTTGTGTGTTTATATTAGAAGTTATACCTGCATAAGTATACGTTTATCCCCCCCAAAAAAGTGAACTGTATTCTTTATTGTGATTATTTAATTATTTTATTCAATAAAAATAATTTAAATTAAAAAAAAAGCTGCCTGCACGGCTCAGATGAGGCTGACCGACTTCTGGAGGCCAAAAGTAACAGAAACACTGTGCAAACTGACCACCAGCCCCCACTGGCTTTTGCTCAAAACCGCCTTTAAGTCCAAAGCAAACGACAAGTAACACGACAGGCGATCAGGACTCGTTCCGTCCAACACAAGCTGTCTAACCTGGCCTGTCTGAGCCGGTGGGTGTTCTGCAGAGCAGAAATCCCCGGCCATGCCACAGATGGCTGATTTGGACCCGTTAACAAGGTTAAAAACCTGTCGTTTTCAGCAAAGGGAGGCTTTGAGACTAAAAGACTCTGAGAGCTACTGTCCATGCATTAAATAAATAGGAGAGGGGGAAACTAACTCATGTGGGTGATGGATTTATTCATCAGAATTGTGTCTGATTTGTTAGAAATTCGAGGCTTTACAAAAGGTTAATAAGTTAAAGAACATTTTGCTTTCTGTTCACATTCAGATAAATAAAAGCCTGTTTTTTCTTTTTAAAAACAGTTTTAAAAAATGTCTGTACTAGTCCTTGACGCGGTTTCATGCTGTTGTTGTTCACGAGGGTAGAAGTCACTTTTGCTCGCACGTGTTTTTTCAGAACCGATTCTTTCAAATGAAGCTTTTCATAAATGATCAAGGACATCTCTGGGCCTGGATCACGAGTCAGAATAATGCTGCTGTTAGATTTCTGACCAGAACCAGGAAATACGACCACATCAGGCCAGTGCTCGGGTCTCTCCACTGGCTTCCTGTCCCTCAGAGAACAGACTTTAACCCTGTAATGCCGAATGTGTCATATCTGATTCATACGGTTTCTGAAATGTTTTGCGTCTGACACCTTTTGCATAATTTAATGGTAAAAACTTTGCTAAAATCCTATTGTACACAATCACATACACCTGATAACAGGGGGCAGAAGACTACACAAAAATAATCTTGATTTATGGCATAGTAATAAATTATTAATATTAAAAATGTATTTCTGTTTTTTATTTTTACATATTTTGTTAAAAGGCCAAATAAGGAATTCAAACCAAAAAAAAGTAATTTTCTGTTTTGTTTTATTCTTGGATCAGGCTTTAAAGGGTTAAAGCAGTTCTGCTTGTGTACAAGTCTCTTCACGGGCACCAAAATACCTTTCTGACATGTTAGAGCCAGATAAACCAGCTCGGACTTTGAGAACCTCCAATTCTAGTCTCCTGATGGGGCCCAGAGTCAGAACTAAACAAGGTGAAGCTTCATTTCAGCTCCATGCTGCTAAAATCTGGAACTGTCTTCCTGAAGATGTGAGACAGGCTTAAACTCTGACAGTGTTTAAATCCAGGTTGAAAACGCTTCTGTTCAACCCTTTAAAGCCTGATCCAAGAATTAAACAAAACAGAAAATCAAGTTTTTTTTGGGTTTGAAATCCTTATTTGGCCTTTTAACAAAATATGTAAAAAGAAAAAACAGAAATATATTTTTAATATTAATAATTTATTACTATGCGATAAGTCAAGATATTTTTTTGTGTAGTCTTCTGCCCCCTGTTATCAGGTGTATGTGATTGTGTACAATAGGATTTTGAACAAAGTTTTTACCATTAAATTAAAAGGTTTCAGACGCAAAACATTTCAGAAACCGTATGTATCAAATATGACATATTTGGCATTATAGGGTTAACTGTGCGTACGGATATTTAACGTATTTTATCTGCACCCTTCACTTTTCATCTTTTTAATGTCACCTGTCTAATTTTTCTTTCTTTGTTTTTCTGCTTTTAAATTCTCTGTGAAGCACTTTGAATTGTCCTGTACAAGAAATGTGCTATACAAATAAACTTGACTTGACTTGAGTGTTTTTTCTCAGCTCTTTAGACCAGTGTTTTTCAACCACTGTGCCTCGGCACACTAGTGTGCCGCGAGTGATGGTCAGGTGTGCCGTAGAAAATCATCCTATTTCACCTAATTGGTCATTTTTTGCAAATAATATGCCATTTTTGAGTGTCTGTGCTGTTCTAGTGACTGGTGGCGTAATCATGTAATAATTCCTTATGGCTAGATATTGTATATAATTTTGCATATTGAAGTGGACATGTTAGGTGCAATTTGAAAGAAGAAATATAAAATATGATAAAAATATTTTTTTGTGTTTATTTGATTCCTATTCAAGACACTTAAGATAAGATAAGAATAAAATAAAAAAATAACTATAGAGTTACTATAGGCGGCTACAGATTTGTTTGACATTTTTGGTTGGTGTGCCTCGAGATTTCTTCAACGAAAAACTGTACCTTGGCTCAAAAAAGGTTGAAAAACGCTGCTTTAAAGGACCCCGGAGCAGCCAACCCCCCCCCCCGGACTGACCCTCTCCCTCTGGCTGCTCTCCAGCTGCTGCAGCTCCTCCTTCAGCCGCTGGAACTCGTTCTTCAGCTCCTCCTCGCGCTGGCAGGCCCCCCGCGCCTCGCCGCGCGCCGCCTCCAGCTCCGCCTCCAGCCGCTGCAGCTTCAGGTCCGACAGCGCGTCCAGGCTGCGCGAGCTCTGCAGGGTCAGGGCCGGGCAGTCCAGCACTGGGAGGAGAAG